AAATTCTGTCCATCATTAAGTGTCCAGCTCAAATACCACCTCCCCACAAAACATCCCTGATGGTCCCTATTTAAAGCCATCTTGCTCTGAATTTCCATAGGACTTTATTTTACTCACGTGACACCAACCACATACTGTCTTATTTTGGAGTTACCTGCACAGCTCACTTCCCCAAGCACATAATAACTCTCCTGGAAAGAAGGGTTTGGGTCTGAAGATAACAATAGTCCTCCCTTATCCTCGGGTTTACCTTTTGTTTGTTTGTTTTGTTCATCCTCACCGGAGAATATTTTTCCATTGATTTTTTTTAGAGAGAGTGAAAGGGAAGGAGGGAGGGAGAGACAGAGAGACGCTGGTGTGAGAGAGACACATAAATTGGTTGCTTCCTGCAACCCCAGCTGGGGCTTGGGATCAAACCTGCAACTCAGGTATGTGTCCTTGATTGGGAATTGAGCCTGAGACCATTCAGTCTGGTCCAATGCTCTAACCACTGAACCAAACCAGCCAGGGGCAAGGTTTTTTTTTTTTTTGTGGTTTCAGTTACTTGCCGTCAACCATGCTCTGAAAATATTCAATGGAAAATTCCAGAAATAAACAATACATAAGTTTTAAATTTCATGCCATTCTGAGTAGCCCAGTGATATCTCTGGCCTTCCCGCTCCATCCCACCTGGGACGTGAATATACCTTTGTCCCACATATCCATGCTGTATATGCTCCCTGCCCAGAAGGCACCTTGTACCATCTTGGTTATCAGATGGACTGTTGCAGTAGAGCAATGCTTGTGTTCAAGTAACCCTTATTGTACCTAACAATGGCCCCAAAGTGCAAGAGTAGTGATGCTGAAAATTTAGATATGCCAAAGAGAAGCCGTAAAATGCTTTCTTAAAATGAAAAGGTGAACATTTTTGACTTAAGGAAAAAAAAACAAAACGTGTAGGCTGAGGTTACTGAGATCTATAATAAGAATGAATCTTCTATTTATGAAATTGTGAAGAAAAAAAAAAGAAACTTGTGCTATTTTGCTGTCACACCTCAAACTGCAAAAGTTATGGCCACAGTGCATTTTAAGTGCTTAGTTAAGATGGAAAGAGTATTAAATTTATGGGTGGAAGACAGAAAAGATGTGTTCCAACTGGCAGCACCATGTTGCACCTGAAAGCACTGAGCCTCTATGTACAGCGGTTCTCAACCTGTGGGTCACGACCCCTTTGGAGGTCGAATGACCCTTTCACAGGTGTCGCCTAAGACATAACAGTAGCACACTGCTGGTGGGAATGCAGACTGGTGCAGCCATTATGGAAAACACTATGGTGTTACCTCAAACAATTAAAAATTGAACTGCCATTTGACCCAGTGATCCCACTTCTAGGAATATACACTAAGAAGCCTGAAACACCAATCAGAAAGAATATATGTACCCCCATGTTCGTAGCAGCACTATTTACAATAGCTAAGATCTGGAAACAGCCCAAATGTTCATCAGTAGATGAATGGATAAAAAGCTGTGGTACATATACAAAATGGAATACTATGTAGCTGTAAGAAAGAAAAATCTCTTATCCTTTGAGATGACATGGAGGGACCTGGAGAATATTAACCTAAGCGAAACAAACCAAGCAGAGAAAGACAAATATAACATGATTGCACTTATTTGTGGAATATAATGAACATAACAGTCTGAGGAACAGGGTAGACCCAGAGACGTGGAAGTAGGGTACAGACTGACAACCCCCAAAAGAGGGGGTGAGGGGGAGGGAAGAGATAAACCACAGAACTTATATGCATGTATACATAACTGATGGACATGGGCAACAAAATTGGGGAAGGGGTGGGGGAAATGGGGAAGAGGGTGTCAATGTGGAAAAAAGGAGAAACATCTGTAACAAAAATAAATTAATGAAAAAATAAAACAAAAAAATCAACCAATGAACATTAAAAAAGACATAACAGTAGCAAAATTAGTTATGAAGTAGCAACGAAAATAATTTTGTGGTTGGGGGTCACCACAACACGAGGAACTGTATTAAAGGGTCGCGGCATTAGGAAGGTTGAGAACCACTGCTCTATGAAGACTGCATGCAGCAAAGGAGCCCCCAGACATGTGACACCAAGCCATTTATTTCAAGTAAGAGATAGTTACAATAAGATATGTTGAGAAAGTAACCACCATCACATAATTTTTAACACAGTATATTGTTACAATTGTTCCATTTTGTTATGTTATTGTTGTTAATCTCTTACTGTGCCTAGTTTATAAGTTAAACTTTATCATAGGCATCAATGTTTAGGGAAAAAACGTAGTATATACAGTGATACCTCGGTTCTCGAACATAATTCGTTCCAGGAGGACGGTCGAGAACCGAATTGTTCGAGAACCGAAGCAATGAAACCCCAATAGGAAAGCGGACTCCACAAAGCGTGACTCTCTCTCTGCACTCACACTGATGACGCAAGCAAGGCGCGCTGGGCCGAATGAACGCCATTCGGCTCAACTCGGAAGTTCGAGTTCCAAATATTTGTTCGGATTTCGAGACAAAAGTTTCTCGAATCCTGATTTGGTCGAAAACCGAGGCGTTCGAGAACCGAGGTATCACTGTATAGGATTCGGTACTATCTGTGGTTTGAGGCATTCAGTGGGGGTCTTGGAACATGTCCCCAGAAAATAAAGGGAGACTACTGTATGTTGAATGTCCTCACAGTGCTTTGCACAAAGCAGGGGGCTCAATAATCATTTTAGAGACATTATTTTTTCATACTGAAAACTTGTGGATCAAACATAAAGAAAATATATTTGTAGAACTCTACTGCATCTGTACTTTTATAGACAGATTCCTGAGTGATGCAAAGGGGCAAAGGCCCCACCTCTCTGGCTCCCCAAAACATTTTCCCCACTACTATCCCCCCCCCCACTTCTTTCTACTTGCTTTAAGATTTCCTCCTTTAAAGTACTCAGATCTCAGCCTTAGACAACACTGATTCTATGAGGCCTCTGTTAAATATTCATCTCTTACATAACATAAAAGTGTTTCGGGAAAGTTGGTGTTTTTCTACGAGTAAGGTTAATTTATCAGATCTGATGGTGATCACTTGGAAAGACACAGAGAGCTGAGCTATCAGTGAATAGACACTGTCCAAATATTTAAGTTGTGATAAAGTTGATTAAACCCTGGTTTTCCAGTAACCAAGGCTAAAGTTTTTTTCTCACATTTCGTTTTTCTTCAGCCTTTCAGTTAGTGTCAAAAAAGAAAAGAAAAATTAAACTCCATTTTACTTTTACTGGCCTGGTCAGAACTAGAGGCATTCAACAAACTCTTTGCTGAATGAATAAAAAAATCAATGTTTATTTTTGCTTAAAAACAAATGCAATTACTGAAAGGGTAAAATATGATAGTCTTATAAGACAGCATATTTGTACAATAATGGGAAAAGTTATTACAGTCTTACCTCAAAGTAGCTATAGTATAAATGTCAGCTGAGTAATTTCAAGTAGCATATTTTGTATAACCTGTATAAATATATTGTGAAAGGCAAGTAAAGCTTTGCAAACCAAGTCCTCACATTTATGTTACATGATAATCTGCTTTCAGGTGTCAGAGCGCCAAGACAGTCTTGAATTCCAGGAAACATTAAAGGAAAACTAGTGACGACAGAGGTTTCCACTGTGAAAACAATGGTTTCTCCTGTTTTGGATGATGCCATGGTAGCTCACATCTACTTCACACTTTGATTTTGTTACCAAAAGAGAAAAATTCATTCTTAAACTTTTACTAGGAGTGCTCTTAGCATAAGCACATTATAACATGCCCATAACACATACCAATATTAGCATAATGTAATATATATTCTCAAAGAACTTCCCATAAAAAGCAATGTTCTTTGTAACTCCTGTGAGTAGAAGAAAGGAGAAATAGAACAGGTTACATACAGTAATCAAGAGGCTCCGGGACCCCACATTTTACCTGTTTTAGTATATTTTGTGGTAAGACTTAAAGCAATATTACCCTCTCTGTTGAAAACGAAGGTGAACGTGTTTACTTTGTCTTGATATAATCGTGTGTTAAGTTTTTGAAAACAATATTTTAACATTTCAGAAAGTGACATTCAAAACACTTTTTAGGCATAAAAGGATTCTAGACATTTGTTTACTGGTTAAAAAGCCCGCTTTAGACCAACAGCAACAGATATTTTATGATTATATTGTGGTAAAATAAAAAGGCCGGTGGATTTGATAAAGAAGCAGAACAAAGTAACACAGGAGGAAGCCTGCAATCCACAATATCAGGATCACTTGACTCCACTAGAAAGATGATAAAAGCAAAGTAGAGGAAGGGCCATCAAATCTCTTTTTGTCATCTTAAACCTAGCTCCAAATCAGAGGGCAGCTCCACTCCCCTTTGGTGGTGGTGAATACCTATTTCCAGCTAAACTGGCGTTATTTAGGCTGTCCATGTTTTTCCAAAGGGCAGGTGAGAGAAAGGGAGAGTCACGCAGGTGTCACCTGAGAGTGTCAGTGCTCCTCACAGGGAAACGGAGAACTTCGCTGGGACCCTGGGACACACACAGGGCATCTGCTCAGGGTGACACCTGGTTGCCCCGAATGAGTCCCCTGCTTCTGAGAAGGGGCTCACTGTTTTTACCCGTGAAATGATCCTGTGGGGAATATGGATGGAGGAAGAGACATCCTTCGGGGGGAAAGGGCCGATTCGGGCTGGAGAGGCGGGGTTGCTGGGGACCCAGAGGCCCAGGTTGACCCCTCAGAGAGCAGAGCCGCGGGCCTGTGCGACCCACTGCGGCGGCTGAGGCCCCGGAGAGGAAGCCAAGGGCACCCCACCCCCGCCCGCTCTCCCAAGTGAGGGGCAGTTAAGTCAGCGGGAGCCAACAGCAGGTCAGCTCGGCCCGGGGCGCCGGGTGTCCGTCTGAGAGTTGGCGGGAGGGCGGCCGCGGAGCAGGTGGCGCCGAGGCCCGCGCTGTGGGCACCGGGCGGCGGGCGGCCCTTACCTGGTTCCTGCGGTACCACGCGCCCGACAGGGAGCCGTTGCCGGCGCCCGGCGCCCCGTACGTGAAATTCCCGGACAGCTCGTCCAGCGCGGCCATTGGGCGTCGCCCCCGGCGCTCGGGCTCGGGCTCGGCCTCTCCCGGCCGGCTGCTCCGCGAGGCTCGGTGCAGGAGGCTCGCCCGCCGAGGCCGCGCCCGGCCGCTGCCACTTCCTGCTCGAGGCCCGCGCCGGGCGGGTGCCCCGGCCACCTGGCTCCCGCCCCCGCGCCGCAGGTGCGCCGCCCGCCCCGCCCCCTCCCGGTGCGCCCTCCCTCCCTCCTCCGCGCCTGGTGCCCTGGGGAGCCCCGCTGGCTTCGGCTCCGGGTTGGCCGGGCTCTCGGCAGCCTCCGGCCGCGGGGCCTCGGGCACAGCGTCCTCGCAGGCCACGCTGTCCGGGGCTGATCACCGCGCCGGCCTGCGCGGGTGTTCGCACCCGTCAGGGCGACACCGAGGTCATTGCCAAGTGCCCTTCCAGCCCTTCTAGCGGGCGTTTAGGGGGTACTGGTTGAGGGGAGCGGGAATGGAAGGGGAGGAGGCTAATCCAAAGCCGCTGTCTTCACCTGTCTGCACCTGGCAGTTCCAGCTCTCCATCGCATATGTCGTGTTTCTCACTTGTATTTTTAAGTTGTTTGAATATGGACAAGTCACGAGTTCTCGAAAATACTGTTAGCAACCCGAGAGTAAAGATGGGGTAGGTTAAATCTCAGTGCCAACACTTGATAGATCCTTCCTGGAATGAAGGAAAGAACCTCCAGAGGTAGCTGGGGGACCCCAACCTGTGCCTGGGACTGGAGGAGGTTTCCTTCGAAAAGAACCAGAAGGACTTCCTGAAAAGTTGCCAGCTACTGATGTAATAATTTCGGATGGGAGATCATTGTTGTTAATGGTCTTAAGGAACTGTGACCTGATGTTCTGGATTTACCTGTATTCCAGTTCTGCTGTGTTACTACAAAGGATCTGCAAGCTTGCTCTCACTTCAGATTTCTGTGGTTCTGGACTGTGGCCCAGAGTGCTGGAACTTGCAATTTTTTGGTTGTTTGCATGAAGCTGAGATTCTTCTTATATAATGTACTTTGATTGTCGTGACTTCATGAAAGAGAGACCTTCAAGAAAAGAGCTTTGCTGTCTAACAGGAAACAGGGAGGGAGTTTCCAATGTTTTTTGGGAGAAATGTGCAAATGAGAGAAGAAAATGAGAAAGTCGTTTCAGATAGAGAGAAAACAAAACATGTCATCTCAGACGTTGTATAGTTTCTTGCTTGAGCACCCAATATGTTTAGTGAGTAGTTCATATGGTAGATATTTCCAATTTTAAAAGGCTAATTTATTTCAAATAAATATCTGAAAGTGTCTATTTTTAATATTTTCTGTACACCACATGAATTTGTGTTGGTGATTTTCTTAATGGTTCTTTCTGTTGAGATGTTTTAGGGGCCCGGTAACAGAATACCCAAATAAAAGTGGCTTACACAAGCATGTTATCTCCTAGGGGAATGTGGCTATTTATGGTTCTATGATGTCATCATTTCCATCTTTTTGCTCTGCCATCCCTGAGGTTTGGGCCTTGTCCCTATTCATGGTGGCAGCTCCAGGTATCACATAAATACATGACGCATTTAGAAAGGAAGCAGGCATTTCTTCTTATGCATCTTTTTATTAGACAGGAAAGCCTTTTTCAGAATCCTCCCCGCAGCCTTCCCTTTGAGGTCCCATTAGCCAGGACTAGGTCACATGTACGTATTTTACCTGCAAGGGAGGCTGGGAAAGTGACTCGGGCATCTTCAGCCCTGGGAGTGGGAAGTGAGCTATGCTGGCAAGGAAGGACCAGGACGTGGTGGGAGGGCAGCCCCAGCAGAGCCTGGCACAGCCACTCTGCAGTCTATTCTATCCGCCAGATTGTAACTAGTTATATAGTCTCTAAGAAGCAAAATAATAACTGGATCAGGTTACTTTCCTGTTTAAAATGCTTCCAAACCTCCCCATTGATGCAATAAAGTTTATACTTTTCTAAGCCTGGTACTTGAAGACCCTTTATGATCTGGCCCCCAGACTCTGCTACACTCAGCTCATTCCCATTTTACTTTTTAATTAAAAAAAGATTATTTTCAGTTTCTTGGTATTTGTTTTAAAACCTCTAATTCTAGAGAAAGATAGCACTTGGTGCAGAATAGGTATGATGTGTAGCCTGTGACGAGCTCTTCTCCGGATTCCCAGAGGCCACTGCTGTTGCTCTGGCTGTCCTAGCGAGCGGGGGTGGTTGAAACAGAGAATTCGTGACCAGTGTTCCTTCCCACACAGTTCACAAGGAAGTAGCAGCGCATGGCATGAGCTATTTTGGTCCCAAGAGTGTAGGCAGAGCTGGAGGCTGTTCAGGACTTTGTGATGGCCTCTACCTCTTGATGGGGTTTCTTCAGGGCTATCACGTTCACTCTGCAGAAGCCCGAAGCCTTTGATCAACATCTTGTCCTCAGTGCTGAAAAGGTAGAGGTCTGTATTCCTCAGTTAACTAAAGAATTCTATTTTGGTGCCACAGCATTTGAAGTTGGGCTTCATGGTGAGCTTAGAGAACAGGTTACAGTTTGCCCATGTTGCCTAGAATGACCTCTTGCAGCAGCCACACAATCGTTTTTTTGTTTTTAAATTCACCTTTAGCACAAATCAGTCAACACTAGTTTCATTAATGATGAGTGTCCAAGGGGAAAGGTTGTTATTACAGTAAAGATTAATTCTTTTTTTTTTTTTTTATCCTCACCAGAGGATATTTTTCCATTTTTTGTACAGATAGAGTGGGAGGGAGAGAGAGAGAGAAACATCGACATGAAGGGACACATCGAGTGGCTGCCACCCGCACAACCAACCAGGGTCGGGGACAAACCACAACCGAAGTACATGCCCTTAGCGGGAACCGAACCTGGGTCTCTCCGGACCGCAGGCCGACGCTCTAACCGCTGAGCCAAACTGGCCAGGGCAAGATTAATTCTTGATCAAGTTGCTTAATTTCTCTGTGCCTTGCAGTTATCATCTATAAATGGGAGACAGTGAATACTGAAATATAGAAAGTACTCAGTAAGTCCTGGCTTTTACCATTATAACCTTAGGATAAGGAAGGATTCCTTAAACAAATAGACAAAAAATACAAACCACAGAAGAAAAGATTGATACTTGCAATTACAATGAAATTAAACACTGTTATACATCAATAGATTATAAAGTATGAACGATAAATCACAAACTGAGAGCATGTATTTGTCACACATATGACTGACAAAGGATTCACATCCAAAATATATACATGACTCCAAGGGGTCTGAAAAAGAGGCATTTCAAAGAGGTGCTCACCTAGACACACAAAAACATTGGATAGGGTTCCTTAAAGCAAAGATCAACCTTTTACTAAAGAAGTTATATGAGTGGGGCACGATTACCACCATGACCTGCACAGTTAAAAATTTATGATCACGTCACCCTGTGAGGTTACTTTATTTAGATTTATTTCAGCACTCCTCTTTCGTCCACACTTAGAGCCTAGGTTCGGAAAGGTAAAGGGAGTGTGGCAGATTGTTCCCAGTCCTTGATGCCCCCCAGTGCAAGGACATCTTCATTACGATTCTGCTCTTCCCAGTGATATTGGGTTTGGCTGTATGGCTTGCTTTGGAAATGTGGACAGAGCAACAATGTGACAGTTTGGGGCCGAGGCCTTAAGGGTTTCACGTTTCTGCTTGGTCTGTGCCCCATCCTGAGAAGAGTATGCCCCGACTGGCCACTGGTCCAGAGAGAATGAAGAAACCTGTGAGGCACACCTGGAGCCAGTCTTTGCACATTTGACCTGTAGGCATGTAGACAAGAAAAGAAATATTGGTTGTTATAAGCCACTGAAATTTTGAGACTATTACACAGCAAAACTGATGGATTAAGGATATTCTCAACCAGCTTCATTTACAAAATCTTGGTGAAAAACTCTGACCTGATTTGGGACGTGTGACCCATTTCTGCATCAGTTACTGAGAACCAAGGTTTGGTACTATAATTGGCCCTCCTGGGTCAGGTGCCCACGGGGTGGGGGGTAGTTGCCAAGGTGAGGAGAAGAAATGCTGAGCAGACAAAAGCAATAGCCAGTACTGTGGTATGCACAGAGCAGTGGCATGAAAACGTAGGCAAGAGAGAGGAACACAGATGAGAGTGTGTTAAATAATGCCATCGACAGCATAAAGGACGACTAGGAAAGAAATCAAATGAATTTATTGGCTTGGCAATAATGACCAATAAAAGTCATAGATGATTTTTTTCCTGAACAGTTCAGTTGAATCTTGGGGTGACTGGCAGATTATAGTTAAAAATAATATATCAATTAATTAAAATTTACTATAGGAATGCTAGTTATTACTAAGAAGGACCTTAGAAGAGGAACAGGTTAGGAGTCTGTTAAGGGAGAGCCAGGAGTTTTATTTATTTGTGCATCACTTTGAAGCCACAGGAGGCTTTGGGGAGGGGAGTGTTGGGATTGTCCACACTAGAGGGAGGTGATTCTGAAGTGGGAGAGATCCCTCCAGGGTGGATCTAGGCTGCAAGGTGGAGCACAGTCCTAGTGTGACCCTCAGGGCCTGCAGCACATTGAGTTGCATCTTTGGGAACCATGTGACCATGAAGGCAGGATCCAAGCAACGTGGAATTTAAAACAGCAGGATTTAGTGACAGATCACAAGGGAAGTGAGAGAGGCCAAGGGAGGAAAGAGCTGATAAGAATGTCTGGTCTCAGGCCTGAAGAAATAAAAACAGAGCCAGCTCTAAACACAAGTATTCAATCGACAACATGTTAATCTAGTGCCCTTTTAGGACGCTGACCTTTTCTTGACATCTGTGGAGACCTCTCTCCTTCCCCTTCCCCATCCCCTGTGCCTCTACACCCTGTCCCTCCGGCCTTTATTGACATCTGGCTGTGTAGGACTTTCCAGGGCAGTGTCCTACCCAGCCAGGTCCTCCCCAAACAGCATACTAACATGTCTCCCTCTGCCTCATCTTTAATTGTACTGTCAATAGGATATATGTATCCCCCCCCCCCTTCTCTCCCTTTCTCTCTTATTCCTTTGTTCT